TCTGATAGCCTCTCCTCCGTTTGACCTAGTTTGCGGAACATATAAGAGAGGAATTTTACTCGAATTTTCCACATCATGTGAGAGTGTGCAGGGAGGTGCTTTCACAAAAGGCTGTTGAATGCATAGTTTCGTGTTTTGGTCATGTATGGCTATCGAAGAGGAGAAGGAAAGGAAACAATGAGCCGACCGTTTCGAAAATCTCCTGAATTGACCACCACCTGCAAGTCGTCCAGAAATATCGCCAGCAGCCACAGAATTACTATTGAAGACAAGGCGTGCAACAAATCGAGACATGAATTCCTTAAAGCCATAAAGTTAATCGAATTGAGGAAAGCGGTAGGACTAGATGAAATTCCGCCAGAAGACAGTTATGATGAAGATACACAACCACCACCACCATCAAAAACAGTGACAAGCACCGATCAGCGTGAACGGGTGAAACGTGAAGGAAGTAGTCTCTTTCACCTAACCACCTAACTAGACAGCATCGTTTCAACTACAGGTAATACAGGCACAGATGAGGATGTCGAAGCCAGTATCGTGAAGACAGCAAGACAGGCATTCATTAATCTGAAACCAGTGTGGAGATCTATTGCACTCAGCAAAAGAACAACATCAGAATTATCAACACCAATTCAGTCAATTCAGTGCCTCTATGTGATGGCTGAGAGACTTGGTGCAATTCGGAAAGCATTTCCAACAAACTACAGACATTCATCAATAGCTGTCTATGCGCAATACTCTTGATCAGATGGATGGGCATAATGATAAGGATATGCAACAAGGAACTCTGGCGGGGAATCGAACCAACCAGGAACCCATTGCCCAACAAATATACTGAAGGAAGTGGAGATGGATTGGGTGTGCACTGAAAGACATTCGGGGACATCATGTATCAGGCCAGACCGTCGAGTGGATGCAAATGGGAAAGACGAGTTGAGTATCTAAGGCGAGAATGACAGGAAGAGATCATGTGAGGAAGAAATGAAAGCATGTGGGCAGTGGTGGACGTAGGTTGAAAAGACTTCAGAGAAGAGAATGAAATGGATACATGGTAGTGGAGCCCTATGTTCCACTACCAACCCATAAAAAAATAGAAATAACAATAATAATAATAGTGGCTAATGCTGGTGCTATGTACAAGTGGTGGAAACGTAGATGACTGAAGTTGTTCAATTCAAATTAGTAGATTGCCTTGAAGGTGAGACTATAGGGGCTGAATTGTCTAGCTCCATTAAGTGTTCACATATGAACGAAGTTGATTCTCTTCACTTGGCTTTGATCAACCAAATTCGGTCACCTTTAGTAATACGTTGTCTAATATAACCTATGGATTAAGCCAACGTCTCTTCTATTCACCATGATGTATAGGAAGTGCAACGTTGAACTCACCACTTCTACAGTGAATTTAATAGACGAGTGATAATCATTGAATTGTTTGAGCAGTTTGTCCACTGGACATGTTTCATTGCATGTGATGCAGCAGATAAAACGGAACGTGTTGAGAAGACAATATTTACACAGATTTAATTTCACATGTTCAAGAATTCTAGTTGGCCACTTCGTCAGTGAGTGATAAGTTGAATTAAGCTTATGCAACGTGGGGCGGAGAGGAAGGATATATTTGTTCACCTTTGGCAGTCCATATAAACGGAGTAGGGTTGAACCGAATGGTCTAATTTGCTCATGCATATGTGAGTTGATTCTCGATTATTCTCTTGATATCTCACCCTCAGTGTCTTCACTCCTATCTCTTTGGTTTCTGGATATTGGAAGTTCATTTTCATCGTAAAGGATTATGCATATTTTATTATCATAATGCGTCCGATGCAAAATAACGATTCGCGATACTTTGTCGATCCACGATAACAGTTGAAAACCAGGAGTGAGTATAAATAATGCAGTGAATTTGTTTACTAGTGGTTGAATTTCATCAGACAGCTAGCTGATGAAACAGAGTTTCAAATTTTTGTAATTCCTTTAAAATCTTTGTAAGTATCGAGGTGTTTGTGAAATGATTCCTTCAAAATGCAGATATAAGTGATTCTTGAATAATGTTTCAATGGAATAAGACGGGAAACCTGGAGTCATGTGATTTATCAATGAAATGCGTGTTTTATTTGAACAAGACAAGGAAGGATAAATTATTGGAAGGAGGGTGAGAGAGTCAATCCAGACTGTGAAAATATGAAAAGTCAATGAAAAGTGGGATAACCTTTGGTGATATATTTTGGTTAGTTACTGTTATAAATGAAATCTGAATGACTGATGTTGATACATTAGGGCATGAAGTGATATTATGACAAGCAATGTTGGAGTAAGTGGTCAGAAACACTTGAAATAGACGATGTGTTTCCATGTCGGAGACTGTCGTATAGTAAAATCTTGTGGGTATGAAACTGAATAAACAGTAGTACTTCGTCTAAAATGTTTGGTCTGGGAAGATGAATTACTATCACGGTAATATATATGAGAATACATGAAAGCAGACATCTACCCAACTGAGACAACACAGGTGAATGTATTCCTTGCAAAAATGTTGCAACCAACGATGGAAGAGGTTGACAACTCAGGATATCTTACCCCTCAAGTTTTTCAATGTAAGCACCTATTGGAGGTGATATGACAGTGTAATGAACTGTAATTTGGTGTCAGATAGTGGACATCAATTGGAAGCTGCGCTGGAGGACCTAGTCTCCTTGGTTATTCCCACTCACCAGTGGAAGTGGTGTTCACTCGGTGATTACATTACAGTCACTCGGTGCTGAAAACAGAGATTTAATCACCAGGCTATTTAGTCTAAAGCTGGGTTTCTGCAAAACCGAATTATGTATTAGAATTGGTTGTTGTTACTGTCTAGCCGCGTAATGACTAGCACTGATCAGATTCTGTTGATAAAACACAGTCGACAATTTGTACAGGTTTTATTCTCTGAGTGAGCGATTTCCACGAGGTGGTGAAACATCGAAAACTTATATTTTCGAATTAATTGGGATTTTACAAATATTTATTTCATTTATAATCCATTTGCACAATGTTCAACTTATCCAACTCGATCAGGTCAAAATTTTGATCATGAAGATTATAAAGTAGTGAGAATAGTTATATGTTCAGGTTGATTCTTATGAACGAGGAGTAATATTTGGTGATTCGTGAATAAGCAGACAAAGAGGACAGAACGTTGTCACTGGAAACGGGAGTTATAGTCCACCTGAAAAGCCTAACAAACGAAGACTTGATCGAAAACACTACTTGTAGTGACGTGAAATCTAGAAGTTTGCATTCACACGTTTCACGTGTAATCGGCCGAAAACTGGCGAGACGGGTACTCTACTGAGACCCAGGTTATCAGTGGTGAACTACTTGTGTCACTGGTTGACCGTATGGCTAGCAGATTTGTTCAAATCTATTGACGAAATGCTAGCTGTACATGGTTTTGAGAATCACCTTCAGTTGACGGAACAAGTGAGAGGAATTGAATATATGAAGGGCTTTCACTGAAGTCTTTGGTATTTCTTCTTTACTCGTCAACATTTTAGTTTATATAATTGTTGAGATTGTTTGTCGACGATCTTAAGCGCTTCTCGACCCAGAGAAGTCATCAGATAACTTTGGGTTTAGCAGCAAATTATACTGAATCCTGTCAGTTCACGATATGAATATGTTTTTTAATTGAGTGAGTGAATTCAAATTTATCACTCGTTTTGAATTGTTTTACTACAGCACAGTAAACATGTGTTCGTTATCATTTCTATATGTTCTCAGATCCAAATTTACAGTTTGCTCAGGCTGCATCAGGTGGTCAGATGTAAGTCATCGGGATAGAATACTGTGATGCTGACTGTGTTGACTCGTCGCATAGCGGAGTACCTCACAATTCAGATCAACTACACCTAGATTACTTTGGCTCAAACTGAACACAAGATCTCAGGCTGTCACCTTACCAACCTAAGAAACTGAGGATTGTGGGAAATAGACCGGAAACAGTGTGACAGAACTGCTTGCTCAAAGAGGCTTGAGCGAATTTAGTTTCTCGAGGTTGGCAAATCTGTTTATCCAATTGACTGCTAACAGTCCCTCTGCAGCGCTTAAATCCACACAACTTGTTGGTATGAACTTAAAACATTTCTGCAAATTCAGTGAGGTACAATATTGGAATTTCATGCTTAAGGCTATGGGAAGTGATTTTGAAATTACTTATCGACCTACACTTTTAGACCGGGAGGAGAAGATTCATCAAATACCTTTCGTCAAAGTGTCAGCAAATCATTTCTCTCATTTCAAGCTGCAATTCAGTTACTTCGGACTACGCCATAGCACAGATACAGCGAAAGATACAGCGTTCCGTAATAATTTGTCATGAGCTAGCGAAACGTTACTAGTCAATGAAAATACAACATTGTACTATGAAACTCTGTTTCAAGGTGGAGGTGTTACAGTGTGTAGAAAGATTGACAAAGTCGAATATGCCTAAAGCCTCTATCAAGCAATCGCTATGTGAAACAATCTACCCACCACTATTGCTGAGTCTGTGAAGCCAATAAATTGTCGGTCTGTAAAGGTTCAATCATTTTCAGAATCGCATTGGATAGATGCAGATGCTTGACTTTGTTATGATTTAACCAGGCCATAAGTATATGATGAGGAGTGTTCGAATGAAAATGATTTTGACTTTTAATAAACCAAACTATTTGAAGTGTACATGGAATCAGTTAACTAAGTAGCTGTGTTTTTATGAATAATACGGATATTTCTATTCGGTTTGAGGTATGTGTAAATGTAGAAGAGTTTTGAAATACTTACAATGGTATGTATACAGAGAATGTGTTTGGAGATCACAGATGCCTTTACTACTCAAGTAAAATATTTGTAGAAATGAGTAGTGTTTTAATTTTGTCAACCGAATGTAAAAGTCAGATGAAACATTTATGTGAATTACAATCATTGATAATTCTGAACAAAATCTTGTCACCTACCTGAAAGTCTGATTCTCCCAGGAATCCCCAACGCATAATAAATTATTACATTCATTCAAATTACTCTCACCTTGAACGTTATATCACATAGAAGTAAGAAGAGATGTGAATAAACTCAGTGTTCATAGAGTCAGTGTTTTGATTGTCATACTCTTAGAGTCTAAACTACACATTATGTCTGATTGGATGCATACGTGCTTCTCAATGAACAATGAACCAACAAACTTGTCAAAGTGGAAGTAGAACCGTTGTCAAAAAACTCGCTAAAAGTTGTTTATTCTCACCATAGTTTGAATAACTTCTGTGTTTATTCATAACATAGTTCAAACATTGTCATTTCAATGGAAAATACTATTTCTGTGGAAACGTACATGTCGAAGCTAACTCTAACGTCAGTGTATGATATGAAAATGATCATATCAGGTGATTGTGGTTGTTGATGCACTTTGCGATAATATTTTTAGTTTAATTTTCAATAACTCCAGAATTGGAGTTATCCAGACCTACACAACTGATTGTCTGAACTATGAAAGTTACAAGACATATGAATGAATAGAAGTGACATACAGTGGGCAGTGTTTACTTTATTTGACTGGCTGAAATCAGATTGATTCTGACTCGTCTAATTCACTCATTCCGTGTGTGCATGTTTCGAGTGATGAGTGTTTCAGGTTAATAAGGAATCTGAAAGTAAAGTCTTCAAAGTAATAAATTGTTATTGTGATATTGTGCTGTAAAATATTCTTAAGTTATAAAGAGGAGTTTATTGGTTAGGTGTGTGAATATTTGCTCCATTGAACTGTCTAATTTACAGAGTGATTCAGCAACTGGTGTCAAACGCACTACTGGAATTCATCGTAAAAATCTTTCATCCGTATTGATGAAGAAATCGTTAGTTGCTGCATTGTTACCCACTTCTTCTAACACAATCTCAACTGAATTTGTTGCTGAGAAGTAACACGTTTTCTCATTATATTTCAAAGTAACTCATTTTTACTCAGAAGTGGAAATTCCGACTGGCTGTTGACTGTCTTATCGACAGTTTGTATGTGAGTTGTTTTCAGCATATTACAATTTGATACATTTCCTGTGACATTGTAAGTCATGGTGTGTCTGAGTTATTGATTAGACAGGCATAGTTCGTAGGTGCATGTGAATAAACAGGACAACTACATGACTTGTACCTATTCGGAACGGTAAGTAAAAGAGGACGCCCCCAAACGATCTTCATGCATACTATATCAGATAATTGTGAATGTGATGAACAGGAGTCGATTGCAATCTGCCTGAGTAGTTTCTTAATCGAATGCAATAGTATTTTCCCATCGAGACTTATGATATGTTTTTCAAGCACAATAATTTGAGGCCATGAAATCATAGATAGTACGTGCACAGACTCTTTTTGATATAAATATGATGACATTTGAAGATTAGCCTTTCATGTTCTGTCTGTATGTTGTGTAAATGAGACCTGTTTACGATGCTTATCATCCATTCGTATTTGATAGGGAGATTCTTATTTTGACTTCCTTTATCTTTTCTTCCATCAGATTGTGTGCCGGTATTTTGTACTACATTTTACTGCTGAGTGTGACTGTCCGCTCAAGATACCCAACAAACTACATTTTGATGGGAATAGTGGTAGGTTAATGTTTGACTAGCCAGTTATCTGTGTCACAAAGGGGATCAGACAGTTGATTGAGTTGAGCAAATTTTAATGTGTTCTTTTCTCACATATATTCATGAAACAAGCTCTGAGTCATCCAGAAATGTGTCACTCATTTACGAATGTTAGCTTCCTCATTTAATGATTGCATGCAATCAGTAATATTCGGAGTTATTTTATTTCTTGTGATGGATAAATCGTATTCGGTATCATGAATTCATTGAGTGCCGACAAATATCAGGCACACAGACTATGATTTCGATGAGATTATCCTTACACACTTTGTCGTTGTTCTCAGAAATGAATTTTCAGAATGTAGAATCTCGGTCACATTAGTTCATGCCTAAAAGTGATTGAATTGTGTGGACATTTTTGACACTGTATTGATGAACAAATATCCACTGAAGGAGTGATGCATTTCAACGGTGGGTCTATTGAATATTTGACAGACATTTATGACTAGAGCAAGACATCCGCTAAGCTAACAATCAGATTATTATACAACTTTCAAATTGTAGTGTTTTTTCATGTCATATTTTTAAGTCTGTGTGTAGGGTCCTTTCAAAATGTCAGAGATTCATTTCGAGGAGATTTTTTCATCTTTCGACTAACTAAGGCATCTTGTTACACAGACCGAATCACTTCGAAGAAGTCAAATGTTGAAGTTGGAAAGAGTCGGAGAAATGCGATTCCATTATGATAATATTTTCAATAGTTGTTTGGTTCATTCTATATTTATCATATTTATTTTATGATACTTGCTTTATTCAGCATTGTTTGTATGTGTTGTTTCACCATTGTTTGTCATATCTTTTGTTGTCCATAGGCCATTCTAACTACTGTGGGTGTCATTATTGCATACCCTAAATACGACATAGTATTTGCACTAAAGTGCTTCAGTTTGACAGCTGTGATTTCACTGTCGGTGATAGCATTAGGTTTCAGAATGGGGATGTTGACTAGATCAGGATTAATTCTGTTTATTTCATTGGAAGTTGTTTTTAGCTTGTTCGGAGTCATCCTGATTTCTATTGGAATAGCGGGTGTAACTCAGACACTTCGACCAACCAGCTATATGTTACATTCAGAATTCACTGGCCAGCTTGGTTATGTCATGGAAGGATTGTACACGGGAGAAAATGTATTCTCCACAATGCTTCATGACAAAAATATTGACTGGAATTCATCTGAGGAGATGTCTTCGGCAAAAGTGAGTTATAGTTGTGTATCAATAAAGCGTCATAATAAATGTTTATCTACCGGAAGACTTATCTACATACTGAACAGTAGAGTAATGTGAATTGTAATTTCACGTATACGTTTTATTCATGTGGGAAATAAACACAACTGATGATTCAGTATTTTGATAGAGAGTATTTCAGATACTTGTGCCACCCTTTGAAATATTAACCACTTGCATATTTTGCATTTGAAATGGTGGTTCTGGTCGAAGAACTGTGTGCAGTATAATTGACCATTTGTTGGAGTTTGATAAACCCCAGTAATCACCATGGACTGGCATCAGTTGAGGGAACATTGGGGACATGGGAACACTGGACAGATGTTCCATCCTAGTATGGGACTTCTTGACATTGCGCATGCATGACGGCTCTAGAGACTGAACTGAGGGTGATGGATGCACACTGCTGATTCTGAGTAGTGCCGAACTCGGACGAAGCGGCTGTCCAGTGTTCCTATGTTCCCCATGTTCCTCACAATGATGACAGTTCTTGATGAATACCAACTAGAAATCAATCTATGAATCCCCACCAACACTCAAATCGAAACATTAGTAAGCTAGAATAGGTAGTAAAAATAAAATTATCGTAATGAGTAAACTGTGTATCAAGGGAAACAGGAAATCTTCTACACATCTGACGTGACAGTGATCAAGATAGTACATAAGGGGAAGGTTGTGAATCATTGGTTGTTTTTATTCAATATTCATTTAGGACAACTTTTCCATGACCCGTTATGCAGAAACTACAAAATCCATTCGTGAACTGTACCGTTTCTGACAATATCGAAAACACAGACTTCGTTTGTAATATTGCAAATTGCATTCACAGTTTGAGTTATTGATGAAGTAATAAGGTACGCACTAGTCTCAAAACATCTGATAAAACCAAGTAATTAAAATGTACTGATTTGGTTAGAAAAGGAGAAAAATTGGTGCAAACGTTTAGTAGAACCGAACCAAACGCCTATCTGGGTGTCAGAATCACTGTGAATATACACAATTACCAAAATACAGGACTGCCAAACACACTGATAATAAGGTACAGAATATTTTGAGGTCATATAACAAAATGTGACTTAGTTATGAGTTATAATTTTCACATTGCATTCAACCTGTAACTTCAACCTTTATTCTATTGTTTCAGAAGTATCTCTTAATCGCTGGGGATTTCTGCTTGATTGTAGCTACACTGATCGTAAGTTTTAAGGAGATAATGCATCGAATGACATTGTTTTTGATATGACACCATATTTGTAGTACATATATATATGGTAAGTAAATAATTATTCTATACCTGATTCCAATTATTCAGTCATCAGAATTTCCTGACCACATTGCAGTGTAAAATATTCATGGAAACTCAATGCAACTAGATAGGCTTCCATTTTTACACAATGCTCACAATTACTGCAAAATGCTGAATGACGTAAAGCATAAAATCCAGTTATGAGTCATGATGTGGGCGTCCAGCTATTTGGAATGATGCTCGAGCAGAAGCCTACATTGAATGACTGATTTTAGCACGTTTGCACAGTGAATTTCACCGTCGTATGATATCAGTTGTCTGTGAATTTCTTTGAACGACTTCACAAAAGGTAGTCTTCACCACTTACTAGTTTGTCGTTGAGATTCGAAGCAAACTACTAGATGTTATGCATCAATATGAAGTGCAACATAATTGAACGGAATAAGTGGTAGATACTCTTTTCATAATACTGGATTAATAGTAGTCTGGCGTTGAATTTCAAAAACCATGTAACACATCAATAATTCGGAAGTTCTCGTTGTTATTCCTCAGAGAACATAATTCATGATTTAGATGTACATGTGACCGAAGATTTCTATGGGTCCAGTAACAGCCCATAGCTAGGTAGGTGAGTAAGGTGAATGCTGAGTAAACACGAAGATTTCAACAATGTTTATTTGTAGAATTTTCAACTGAATTATCGTCTATATTCCCGACTTCATGAGGATTGTAAAATGGTGAACTTTGTAGAGTTTGAAATCTTTCACAAATGATTACAGAGATTGTAACAGCTCAAGTGTTTCATAATTTTGAGTAATAATTGTAATTTGTTTTAAGGCATATCTAGATCCCAGGATTTCAGTGAATGAGGTTGATTGTCTCTTAGTCGAATTTAGACTTCGCAAACGAGTGTCTGAAATCCCATCTGAGATTCAGTCTTGTTTCATTTACCTGAGTTGTGGATGTAGAGGATGTTGAGAATTTCCCGTGTTTTCTTGACTACTATTGTAAATCATCATGTCAATATGCCTCATATAATGATGTATTCGATTCTTTGCATTTCAGATTTTATTCGTCACATCAATCGAACTGAAGTTTCATTTGAATCATGCGTTTAAGAAATATTATTTGATATTCGATGCCTTGACAATTTGGATGGAAATCCTACTTTTATATTTACAAATATCTGAGGCTTATTGCCTTACTCAGTAAAGAACAGCTGACTGGTTACAAGTGAAATGCAACAATGAGGCACTACTATACAGAAATAAAAAGAATTTAAAATATCATCACAGTGAATTCCCTCATAATGAAAATAAATTACAGCCATATACCTGTTAACCACCACTGAATTTTGTCAATTTTGTAGTTTTCACATCTTAAAATATAGACACTTCAGTTGTACGCTATCAAGCCTTCTTAACAACCTCTTGGCATCCTTATCTGTGTCACATATTTCAAAGATATCATCCACATACCTTCTATAGAGTGTGGCATTGGTGATTAGATCTTGAGCGATTAGTTCAGTATGTGACATATATACATCAGCTAGTAACGGTCCTAATGGACTCCCCATGGCTACACCATCAATTTGCTGAGAGTGTTCACCTGCGAAAGTGAAATGAACCTTATCAGTACATGATAAAAGCAGTTCTTTCAAATAAGTTGAAGTAATAGGGAAAGGAGGATAATTCGAAGATATGTGGTCGCAAAGAATATTAATTGTCTTCATTATAGGTACATTTGTGAACAGAGAGTTAACATCAAGAGAATAAATTTTCTTATTTTAAATATTCAAATCGGTAAGATAATCAACAAGTTGAAAAGTATCTTTCAGTGAATACTTCTATAATTCATTACGAATCGAGCTCAGTAATTCGGCTAACCATCTCGCCAATTTGTGTGTGGGAGACTGACACATTGACAATATTGGGCGTAGTGGATTATCAATTTTGTGAATTTTTGGAAGTCCATATAGATTTGGGAAATAAGATCCCATGGGTTTCAAGGAATTAAACTCCGCTTTAGCAATGACATCCGTGTTAAGGAGTTTAACTAGACTAGTTGTTACTTTTCTTTCTAATTTTCTTATATCCTCTGACGCAACATCTGCCAAGAATTTACTTTTATCACAAAGAATAGACAACATCTTATTTTTGTAGTCTACTTTGTCCATCAACACAACACCTGATCCTTTATCAGGCTTAAGAATTATCACATCAGGATTCCTCTGTAAGCTTCTCAGGGACTTGGAGTGTTGTGTAGTTAAAATGCATCTCTGTTTCGGACCTGGGTTATGGAATTGATGGACTACATCAACTAGTTTAACCTTCAACCAACTCTGGTTATCCGAAGAGGTGGGGACTAGAGAAGTTAAGAGATCATATGAATTTTCGAAATGGGCATCGATGGCTAAATCATTGTTATGATGGTATGGGACAGAAAAACTACTGTTATTTGTTGTTTCACTTAATTTCCCTTGGTAATCCTTATCTGATTATATTACCAAGACTAGTGTCACAATCTTTTCATTTTCACTATATTTGACCATTAATTTTCATATACAAATTGACTTGACAAGTAAATGTGTGATCAGATTGTTCGAAATGTATTGTGCAAATACACCACATTTTTCAGATAATCTTCGTCTTCTAATAGCGTAATCGAAATTTAACGGTAATCATTGTCAGTTGATCACTGATCGCAAGTTAGTCATAGTCACATAATATCTATGAAGTTCATGTATGTAGAACACTCGTTTTTGGATAAGTTTTCTCACGAAAGCGATGATTTGGGTTAGTGCCAAGACAGAAACTCAGAGTTCGTGGCGTGACAGTTCCATATGTTTATTGTGTACTGAGAGAACTGAGAAGGTGGCAGCGAGGAATGTGAGTCGAAAATGTTAGAAATTCAAGTTATCAAAGCGACAACAGCACACGTTTCAAATGGTGCTATTCGTGTGAAGCTTTTCTACTGCATGAATGAGTGGTTGTTGATCTTCTTGCATTCTAATTTTCAGCAACACAACCGACCAAAGAATAATAATAATTGCCTTTATGCTTGTTGGTACATTGTTCACATGCATGCATATGCGGATTTCACAGAAAACGTCATGCATTCTCTCACGTTTTGAAGGAGATCTCAGATTCAACACTTCACATTTTGTGTTCATATCAAGCTGTAAAGTCGTATTCATAGTTGGTGCGATGTCAGATAATTGCAGTCACAAAGTGGCTCAGTCAATATGCATATGATGCAATCGGTGTTGATAGTAGTGGGATTTACTCATGTGGAAGAAAATAGAAAATGAGTCAGGTAATAAGGAGCGAAATGAAATGAAGTGATGAGATGAGGGTGAATTTGTGTCAGGAAGGTATGAAATGATGGTAATGATGATGTTGAAAGTGGAGTATACGAAGTGAAATTTGAAAACTGACCGAAGTGAATTATTGAGGACAGTGCAGAGGAGTTGTTTCACGAAAGGCTGTTGAATGCATAGTTTCGTGTTTTAGTCATGTATGACTATCGAAGAGGAGAAGGAAAGGAAACAATGAGCCGACCGTTTCGAAAATCTCGTGAATCGACCACCACCTGCAAGTCGTCCAGAAATATCGCCAGCAGCCACAGAACTACTAGTGAACACAAGGCGTGTGACAGATGCAGAAGTGAAGTCCTTAACGGGATAAAGTTAATGGAATCCGGGAAAGCAGGAAGACCAAATGGAATTCCGCCAGAAGCACCGAAATCAGCGGACATGCTCACACCACTACTGAAGTAGGCTTGTAAGGAGGATGGAAGGAAGGAAGGAAGGAGAGGCACCTGGCGATTGGAAGAAGGGACACCTTGTCAGACGCCTAGAGATGGGAGACCTAAGCATTTGGGATAGCTGACGCGGAATCATGCTGCTGCTGATGTTATGCATCAATATGAAGTGCAACATACTTGAACGGAATAAGTGGTAGATACTCTTTTCATAATACTGGATTAATAGTAGTCTGGCGTTGAATTTCAAAAACCATGTAACACATCAATAATTCGGAAGTTCTCGTTGTTATTCCTCAGAGAACATAATTTCATGATTTAGATGTATATGTGACCGAAGATTTCTGTGGGTCCAGTAACAGCCGATGGCTAGGTGGGTGAGTAACGTGAATGCTGAGTAAACACGAAGATTTCAACAATGTTTATTTGTAGAATTTTCAACTGAATTATCGTCTATATTCCCGACTTCATGAGGATTGTAAAATGGTGAACTTTGTAGAGTTTGAAATCTTTCACAAATGATTACAGAGATTGTAACAGCTCAAGTGTTTCATAATTTTGAGAAATAATCGTTACCTGTTTTAAGGCATTTTAAATCTCAGGATTTCAGTGGACGAGGTTGATTGTCGCATAGTCGAATTTAGACTTCGCAAACGAGTGTGTGAAATTTCATCTGAGATTCAGTCTTGTTTCATTTACCTGAATTGTGGATGTAGAGGATGTTGAGAATTTTTCGTGTTTTCTTGACTACTATTGTAAATCATCATGTCAATATGCCTCATATAATGATGTATTCGATTCTTTGCATTTCAGATTTTATTCGTCACATCAATCGAACTGAAGTTTCATTGGAATCATGCGTTTAAGAAATATTATTTGATATTCGATGCCTTGACAATTTGGATAGAAATCCTATATTTATATTCACAAATATCTGCGGAATATTTGGTTGCAAGTCTTGAATCTAAAAATTGATGTGCGATTATCAGTTTGTCAAACTCACAAAGTAAACAGTGAAACAATATACCTCGATTACTAACAAAACGTTTTTTGACAACCACCTCATCAAAATCCTTTGTAGAAGGGAGCACTTGTTTATTAAAATGAAAATTCACTCAGTAATCTTGTGCACATTTATGTAGTGAGCAGTGCGACTGCTGTAATATGAATTCTAATGATACAAGAAACTAGCAGCCGAAAAATCAACTAACAGGTTTCAAGTCAAATCCTTACAACACTGAGCCACTACTATATAGAAATAAACAAGAATTTAAAATATCATCACAGTGAATTCCCTCATAATGAAAATAAATTACAGCCATATACCTGTTAACCACCACTGAATTTTGTCAACTTTTGTAGTTTTCACATCTTAAAATATAGACACTTCGGTTATCATCTGCATACTGTTACACTTTCCCAATATAAATGTCTTTGGTCAGTTCCCATAGCTTGAGTTATGGTATATAGATGGCGAGTATGTATCATACTGCCTCAAACTACTATTTGTGTATGGAGTATCACGAGAAACATTGAAAATATTTCAAGTTATTTGTTTTTCAGTGTGAGTGAAGTGAGGACCAATAACCTAATATACCCAGTATATCAAGTGCATTGCAAAAGCTAATCGTATGAAGTCCATGTATTCAATGGGTGAAAATAGTTTATCCAAATGAAAACATTGAAGTCTCTTTAAGAAGTTTATGAAAGTATTGAGAGATCAATGCACAGAATGTGATAATTAACTAAATATTCATGTTGATATAATAGAAGCAGTATGTTTCATGTACTATTTTATTAGAGAGTGGATACTTTCATTTATGTCAACGGTGTCGATGGTAGCAGGAACTATCTACTCAGAGCTTTGTACACGATGAGAGATGCCGACTGAGTCACAAAGAGGCGAAGAGATAATTCAGAGAAGAAAATATACTTCTTCGACCATATCATTTTGTGATACTGTACACTCAGCACCGGAAAGCTTGATTTATGCTGCTCCTCAGCATTGCGTGCCCGCTACCTGGTTAGTGATCAAGCCGTGCATCTCCAGATTTCACAGTGAGCATGCTACCACTGAGTTATGGCATCAGAATCCAACTTGTTTTACTTCACAGTAGTCAGAATCGAATTGAGTCTCTCTATCAGAGAGTCTCATTGTTGAGAGAATGTTTGAGAGTGAGACGTTATTTATGTTAAGCCTGGTTTATTAACACACGGAGTATTGCTAAGTGCCTTAACTGACAGTTTGACATGAATTAGATCAGATATATTTGGCGTGGATTGGTTCGTGTGGGCCTTCATTTTGGTATCTTGTGACAAGTGAAACTGTTTGAAAACTAGTTGCCTGGTATTTCTAGACTTGAAGTTGATGATGATTCAGTGGTAGTGTTGTGGGAAATAAGATTGTCGTTCAGAGTAGCTGGTTACTGTGTAGACAGTAAATTGTCTTTTGGAAGGAAATTTAGTAACTCATAATAATTCTGTTGAATTTCAGCTAGAAGTGAATGGCCTTTTATTGAATTGGATTTGTCGATTTGAGAAATGGTATGTTACATAGAATTTTGTTCATTGTTGTCGTGTCTTATTTAACTGGTGAGCTGCGAAGCAATATGAAGATGATAGATTTCTCTGGCTGAATAT